CTGTGTTCATTGTCTCTAAAAAACGGTTTTTGAACAATCAATTGGAATGACCCACAAAATTTCTCCAAACATTTTTTATGACTTTTCTTGGGAAAGATTTGATATTCAATGTGTCAGATGACCGTTTACAGAGTTTTAAGAAATTAGAAACCTAATGCTTGAAATTGTTCTTAACTATTCTCGACCCTTCATTATTACAGTAATAGATGTGCTATTGAAAATCACAATTCCTTGCAGACATGATGAAGAATGATCAATTTTGCATCATTGTCGGCAACGCGGTGACGGGAATTTGCACTGCAATGGAGAGGGGGAACAATAAGTGTCCGCAACCAAACATGGCGACAGTAGGGCCTGTTCCCACCAATCACACGCCAATTTCAGGAACCCTCATGGTAGAACAGTTTTATTTTACTATATAGTATCGTTTTCCAAGAAAATGACATGTGTAGACCACAAATATCATCATGGCAAATTGGTCCAGAATGATGTGGCAAAATGTGGTGAACAGAGCGATTCGAATATTGGTATTGGGTTCATTTGGATTGCACTTCCTGTCGGCAACGGCCAATATTGGCGCAAACTGAGCTTGAGCAGTGTTATGTTTCAAATTAATGTCCTACTTAATTGATATTTTGTTTCTGACATTGAAGCAGCGATAAACGTGTTAACATAGAAGTGTTGATTATCAGAGTAATGGGATATATTGAATAAAGTGAAAATTCGAGAAAATGTTTCCGCTATTGTCCTCCTACTGGTCATAGTGAAACTAGTTGAAACCTTAAGGACGAAATTCCAAGCGACACAATAATCATAGTAAAGAGTACACTGGTACATCAGAGATTCTATAACGGAAACGATGACAATATAAATAATTGGAAATGATAGAAATACAGTAAATAGACATAAACAATATCATAAGCATTACAACAACAGACAATAACATGCAAAAAACAACAACAGCTGCATCTCCTAATTTAGGTCTAGAGCTTAAGTTTACTGAATTATTGGGAAAAATTTTTTTTGCCTGTGAAAACGTTTTATTCGCTGTAACGAACAGTGAAAAGAACAGTGAAAGACATCTGAGCTATATCATAGACGATTTTTCAAATGTTTCCGTATTCGCTGAAGTGATCTCTACACGAGCCATTTTCTCTCTGACACTTTATTGTCACCCATAAAAGTGGTATTTCTCAGTTGTTAATTTGGTTCTTCGTACAACAGATTTGAAGACAGGTTACATGAGAAAAATTCTACCAATGGTGTAATGATGAATAAATCGAACTGGATAGTACTACAGTTACAGAGACCATCTCATACGTGTATCTTGTGCGGTTCGTTCACTGAATATGGAGAATAATACGAAGGAAGAATTAGACAGAAGAAGGAATGCAGCAAGGCTCCGGCCTACGGTTTAGCGGTATCGCCTTTATGGAGAAGTTATCACGTGTATCACCTGTCGTCCCGTTGATTGTCGAATGATTCGAGCGGGTACCGGCAACACTTCCATTTTTCCCTATCAGTGCAAGAGTAGCCCAGTGGGTCCTCCTCGCTCTAGGGATTCGCTGAGCATCATACTTTCCTTCTATACCTTTCGTGAAGAAATCGGACCATCTGGTCGGTTGTTTTCCTGTAGAGCGCTTGATGTACCGAAGAATCCAGTCGGTAACGGTTCTCGTTGATCGGTTGTCGTTGAAGCACATCACGTGTCCGACCCACTTTATTTTCGATATCCTGACGTATAGAACGGCGTCTCTGATTTTCGATCGTTGACGTAGGTCAAAACTTTGGATCCTTTCTCTCATTTGCGAGATACGGGATACTCCTAGCATCGACCTTTCGACTGCGCGTTAGATAACTCCAAGTGATCTTTCATCCTGCTTACGTAGCGACCAGGTTTCTGCTGCATACGTCAAGGCAGGGATAATGGCCGGGTCGAAAAGGGGGGCACGGAGCCGGATATTTTTAGTCCTCTTCACCACATCTTCGATGCTCTTAAACGATCCCCAAGCCGCTCGTTTCATCCTGCTCAACTCTGGAGCTAGGTCGTTTATCATGCTGATTTCACGACCTAGATAAACGTAACTGGAGCATTCGGAGATTTTCGTGCCATTGAGAGGTAATGGGGCATTCAAACTCATCCGTTCCTCATGAATACCGTCTTTGTTACATTTAGTTGAAGACCAATCTTTCCACAGGCGTTATCGAAATCACTCAACATTCGTTCCGCTTGGCTGATGTTTGGTGCTGTGAGAATGATATCATCAGCAAGGCGAAGATGGTTCAATTGTCGACCGTCAATTTTCACTCCCATATCGTCCCATTCTAATGTTCGCACGACGTTTTGGAAGGTGGCAGTGATAATTTTGGCGAAATTGTATCGCCTCGTCGAACCCCTCTTCTTACGTCGATGGTGATGGAAGAGTCATACTGACATGTACATATAATTATTGGACCGCATAACGGATAGTTTTCCAGGCAATTAACGTTTTGATGCTCTGAGGTTTTCTAGTTAATGAGAGAACCATCAGCATTAAGACTCACATAGGTGAGGAATATGTCTGGCTTATATTAAAAAAGCGGTCTAGAGTAGGGCGCAGGATCACTCGTGATACCCAACCACCTCTCGGTGCATTTGAAATTCATAGGATTTACAGAATTCCAGAATGATTCATCCAGATTCTTAAGCTCAGATGTCCTCTAATCCTGTGCGAGGATGACAATTTTACATGAAAATCTTCATCTTTATATTCTATGACCTATGTGACCTAGTGGATGTTTAAATCATTTATATTTATCGGATGCATGATTTTTATGCGGACGCACGATAGTCCACTCGCTCCCATCAATATATTCGTCACCGTACCTTTTGCAAGATATAAGGCCACAGCTGATGAAGCTGGTAAAAGTCAATGACATATCATGACATGATATAACATGTCATACTGAGCCGTTTTTAATCAGAATTGTGTGCATACCAAGAATTCCTGTAGGTGTTAAAAAAAGTTGAAATCACGAAATCAGTAAAATAACTCCAAAATCTATCAACGTAAGCAAGTACGTTCCTTAGATATCCGAAAAATAGCAGCCTCAACAAGGAAAAAATCTTGACGAGCCTGTGCCAGTTTCCAACACTGCAAAGTATATGCAGTATTTTTGATACTATTTTATTCATAAATACGTGGACCAGTGAATCACTCAAAATACGTACTCAACATCTATTCCCGGGTGGAGTCGTGACAACTATGCATTTAGTGGGATATACGATCATAGCTGGGTAATATGTGACTATTGCAGAACTACGCATTCGCCGACCCAACAGTCATCAGCAAATGGACTTTAAACTATTACAATTTACTGAGCCTTAGTAAATTTAATGCTAGGGTAAATAATGTGCGCTTTTTATCACATTTATCGGCTTACACCGGACTGTTAATAAGGCTCACTCGATTTTCCTTTATAAAGAATGTCAGCTATTACATTCAACTAGAATTCTTCTTACTTAACCTCTTTCTAGCAGTTGTAAGATGTTTAAGAATGTATATCCAATCATGTGAAGTGATATGTACTTTTCGCCTCCAGCTGGCAACAAAGGAAATCCAAGTGGTAAGACATTATATGTCCCTCCAACCTGAAGTTGCCTCTGGTGACCATCTGAAAACATCTTAGCCTGGCTGTTTTGAATAACGGCACCGAGCATGTTGATGGGGAAAAGAATGGAAGCAGTTCCATGTTGAATCGGAGTCTCGGAGCGAGCTGAAACACCTCCGTGGAAGAAAACAATGAAAAGAAAACGAACGGAGGAATTGTTGATGTCAGCACGTGATGCCCAAAAGGCATCGTCTACGCATCGAAATGAGTATCGAAAAAACTTTGTAAAACGTAGTTTTTCCTCACGCCTAAGCCATAAATCGTGATTTTTTCTCACCGCTATAAACTGCAACATAGAAATTTTTTCTCACACATAAACTGGACAACGATATTTTTTTACACGTAATTCGTATGTCGCAGTTCTCCCAAACATAATATCACGAACCACTTATTATACGGCTTCAAACAATGCCCTCTCATTTGTGCGAATCTCAACAAGACCTGTTCATGTTCTCGAAAGATCTTCGATAATTGCAGGTTTATTACATACAATGGTGTCCTTGTTACAGCATCATAAAATACTGAATCTTATTTACTAAGACAGATATCCCATCTTCACCTGTTTTGCACGTCTCAGTACTTCTCTCCTTTTTTCCATGCAACTGCCATCCATGGAAGTGGTTGAGCTGGTGTATGGCTCCGAATAACTAGAAAATTTCCGCTGTTTTTCTCATTGAAATGTTGAACGCTGAAAAGGCTTGCTTTCTCTCCAAATATCTGAGTTAGTGAAGTTAGAGCGTTCTCAACTCACAGCTATTCTAGTGGAGTAAACGGTAGGTGAGATGTCCGGAAATGTTTACTGATATCAAAAATTTGAACCTCAGACAGGAGTTGATTCCACGTCTTAGCGATTTAGGACGCGTGCTAACCACTTAACTATCAATGCTCTTCAACGGCTCTCACTCAACATTTTTGGATAGATGGCTATAGCATCATAACACTGCTACAAGGTGGTTAAATGAAGATCTCAGTCAGTAGGCGCGATACTTCAGGCGCTCGCCTCAGATAATGAACTTACATCACATGCAGCGCTCGAGACAGTGTATATGGGGTTGCCATTTCTTGGAACTTCCCAGTAAACTTATCCATCAAACTACTTCGTTTAGCTCGAAATTTCTAGTGTTATTACTGCCTTTTTCGCAGTTTTTTAATGTTTCTTATATACCTATGAGAACTGAGTGTTGAACGAAAATAAGACCTTACCCAGGAGTTGAACCCGCGCTTCATCCATACCGGGGACGTGCGCTGCCAGTGACCAACCTGGTTTACCTTTTCAGGGTTCAAGTTTCAAAGGTTGGTGGCTGACAATTAACATAGAGATGTCGACGAATGAGTGGTAATGCGAATGTACATTGGTGGTGTAGTGATAGCACGCTTCCCCGGTATGGATGAAACGCGAGTTCGACTCCCGGCTGAGGTCGTATTTTTGCTCACCACTCAATTCTCTTAGGTATATTCCGTTTCACGTACAAAAAATAGGATCATTTTGTTGTTAGGAGCCAATTTTTTGCTTCTTAAGAAAAAGGCGCTTTTCCAGTTTTCCTCAGATTCTTAATATTGGATCTCTTCACTTGTTACATGCGACATGAAAGGCGATCATTACTAACATGAGATATCAGTACAGAAAGTGTCGTACGTAAAATGTACGAATATAGCCGTCATAAGTAAGCAGAAAATGAACAAAGCACCTGTATCTAAATATTCAAGAATGCTGAGCGATGTGTAATACATTGTATCGCAGAATGAGCGGTAACAGGGCAGAAGTTCCGCCAGGGTAATGTAGTGAATAGAGCAGGCCCCGGAACGAGTGAGACGCACGATCAACGTTCGCCCAATCCTAAAGTTTTTGCATATCACTCGATTTCCTTGAATGTATCGTTATATCGTCATAACACTGATACTAACGCGTTGAACAAAAACTTATATACTGTTAATAAAAAAGTCATCAGTCAAGGTGAACAGACTGAACCACATTCAGAGATTTTTGCTAAATACGTTTCGCAGCAAAAGTTGTGATTCGCTTTTCAATCGATGCTTTATTTCACAGATTTATTTGCAAATTAATATTACAATTTTAGCGCTTTGTTTACTGTGAATATATTATTTCTGAAAAGTTCAGGTTTCGTGCAGCAGCAGCAGAAATTAGAAGGCGATAAGAGAGCCGCGTCAAATAAGGAATTGGCTCATTCACTAGAATTTCTGCTCGAGTGGTATCACCCACGTAGCTCATTGTCATGCAATATTTTGCATCTCACCTCATTACCTGAGTCCCCTATTCTTTAAAATAATATTCCTTAAAGCTCGTTGAGAAGTTCGAGAGCTGGTGTTCGATTGAGTCCATCACACTTGCTTAAATCTTCGGTAAACAAGAATAAATGTACCTGTGAATTAGGGGAGACATCGAACTGGTCCCTTTATGATTTCGCCGATAGCTATGATCTCGACAGTGTATCGATGTGGAGTGATGCCTGCAACATAAAGTAATGAATTAACAATTGTTAAGATGTAAAATAATCTTGACATTGTACAACTTTATGGAGTTTGATCGGAGCGAAAACATCTATCATATCATTAGTACATATAAGATGTCATATTCAGCTTCTTAATCTAAGATTTTCAAAAAATTTTGACGCAGATCTTTTTCCAGTCAATAAAATATCTGGTTGCCGTGAACCATAATTACTTTTTTCCATGTTTCTACACCTTCACATAAGAAACACTTGAGTCGACTTGGACTTCCCACGTGATGTTGGAGACATGTTTATGAAAAGCTCAAAGACTCTCACCGTTAATCGATCCCCGAGGATGCATTCAACCTCGTTAGATACTGTTAGAGGTGATTCAATGCATATCTGCCTTTCATAATGACTTTCGATGGCTTATCGTTGTATCGAACCACTGCTGCAATCGTCCCAGACAAAACTGGTACCTCTCCGCCGAAAGCGGAATACCAAAGGCTTGGTGACCTTTGGGCCACGGAATCGCACTATCGACGTGTGGGTTGCTAGGCGCCTTTAGCCACTGCTTCATGCGCGCTTCCGTTCATATGTTACGCTTGACACCTGTTAATAGCCGCTCATTTTCATGGCTAATCAGTTTTCATAAGGAGAAGATATGTAGCACAATCTTTATAATGATGACCTGAACTAGTCCGGAACTGCTTTGTTTACGCATAGTTTTCTACGAGCCATGACGAATCAATGTTCTTCAATCGTCACACCTAGTCTCCCCGCCTCCTCTCCACATATTTTGTCTGCAATATTTCCTCAACTTCATAAAGAAAGTTTTGGAATTTCGCAGTTGTGCGTGAAATTATAGATTGGCCAATGTGTTGAAATTGTAAAGCCCTTAATTCCATGCTGCTGGGATCCATTGGAGCTCTCCTGAGGACATGGGCACGTGCTGTCGCACTCAGCCGGACTAAAATCCCTCAAAGCGGGAGAACCGTAAGGAGCATGTTATGTTTTAATGGAGTACGATTTGAGAATGACGTAGCCTGTAGAATTCTTCGGCAATGATCATGTCATTGTGGAATAGGGAAAAACTGACACGCGTATTTTTTTCTTCTACTTACGCAAAATAAAGTCGCATATGGTGTAAAGACTAATACTTCCTACCTTCGATTTATCGCCACATATACAGACTGTCTTAAGAGTCATAAATAATCTTTGAGAACCTTTTAGCCATTTTTCCGAGGTTTACTGCATTATATTTCGTTCCTGGTAACAATTCGGCATGCACGTGTTTTGGTGATTCCACCATCGTCAGTGGCTTTTTCTTAGGCACTCGCCCCTCATTATAGAGAAGAAGCGCCGAATAATGCTAAACTGTTGGCAAGAAAGCGTACCTGCAGTCCGATGCATTCCGGCTGGTATGAACAATATAATACCTTCTATAACCGATTGCTTTGATTGGCACCTATGATGGCGAAGCTGCCGAACGCGCGTATGCCGCATTATTGCTACAATCGAATTTCATGTAACAAACCTCGAAAGGGGGCGAAAAACATTCTCAGAGACTATATATGAATGTTTTCATTGAAGTTTCAAAAAGCAGTCAATCAAAAAAGGTATTACACGTATGAAAGATTTTCGAATTTCCCTATGTAATAAACTTTTGCTCGAAGATTTCTGGTTCTCTGAATGTTATTCAATGGCGGTCTCTTCAGCGTTAATAGTACACTTGTCAGGCATTGACATATCTTCATCATGTGCATCCATCTAGGGTTGTAGGTCGGACCGAGCAATCTGATCTTAGAGGTATGACATCAACTCCAAAACTGCAAAGGGATGGAGAGCTCCACGGGATCCTAGCAGCGTGGAATCAAGGGCTTTACAATTTCAACACAATGGCCAATCTATAATTTCACGCACGACTGCGGAATTTCAAAACTTTCTTTATGAAGTTGAGGAAATATTGCAGATAAAATATGTGGAGAGAAGACGGGGGAGACTAGGTGTGACAATCAATGAACATTGATTCATCATGGCTCGTAGAAAACTATGCGTAAGTAAAAGCAGTTCCGGAATAGTTCAGGTCATCATTATAAAATCGTTCTACATATCTTCTCCTTATCAAAACTGATTAGTCATGAAAATGAGCGGCATATTCACAGGTGTGAAGCATAAAATATGAACAGAAGCTCGCATGAAGCAGTGGTTAGAGGTGCCCAGCGACCCACACGTCGATAGTGCGATTCCGTGGCCCAAAGGTCACCAAGCCTTTGGCATTCCGCTTTCGGCGGAGAGGTACCAGTTTTGTCTGGGACGATCGCAGCAGTGGTTCGATACAACGATAAGCCATCGTAAGTCATTATGAAGGGCAGATATGCATTTAATCACCTCTAACAGTATCTAACGAGGTCGAATGCATACCTCGGGGATCGATCAACGGTGAGAGTCTTTGAGCTTTTCATGAACATGTCTCCCACATCACGTGGAAAGTCCCAAGTCGACTCAAGTGTTTCTTATGTGAAGGTGTAGAAACATGGAAAAAATGATTATGGTTCACGGCAACCAGATATTTTACTGACTGGAAAAAGATCTGCACCAAAATTTTCTGAAATTCCTTAGATTAGGAAGCTGAATATGACATCTTATATGTACTAAGGATATGCTAGATATTTTCGTTCCGATTAAACTCCATGAAGTTGTACAATGTCGAGATTATTTTACATCTTAACAAGTGTTAATTCATTACTTTATCTTGCAGGCATCACTCCATATCGAAACATTGTCGAGATCATAGCTATCGGCGAAACCATAAAGGGACCGGTTCGATGTAGTTCACAGGTTTATTCATTCTTGTTTACCGAAAATTTAAGCAAGTATTGTAGACTCAACCGAACACCACCTCTCGATCTTCTCAACGAGCTTTAAGGGATATCATTTCAAAGAATAGGGGACTCAGGTAATGAGGTGAGACGCAATATATTGCGTGACAATGAGCTACGTGGAAGATACCACTCGAGCAGAAATTCTAGTGAATGAGCCAATTCCTTATTTGACGCGGCTCTCGGTTCTCGCCTTCTAATTCTGATGCTACGGCACGAAACCTGAACTTTTCAAAAGTAATATAATCACAATCAACAAAACGCCAAAATTGTAATATTAATTTGCAAATAAATCTGTGAAAGAAAGCGTCGATTCAAAAGCGAATCACAGTTTTCGCTGCGAAACGTATTTAGCAAAAATCTCTAAAGACGCAGAAATCGCGTTTGCCAAGCATTGAAGCTCCCAGTAGTCCGTCACATTTGGCAGACTCAAATAAGGCGTGCGCTGTTATGAGGTTTTTTATGATAGACGATCGAAGCTGAATAAGCACCAAGTGTTGTAGGAGTTCTGTGTCGTTTTAGTCATATTGCTGAGCGAGAACAGCTTCGTCGTAGTTTTGCCCCTGCACTATCATTATGATACTGTGCTAAGTCAGAGATTTTCGATTACTGCTTTCTCAAAACTATTTTACGGAAGATCATACGAGCACGATTGTTTCACATCGTTATTTTGGGTGGATTACCACCACCAGTATCACCTGTCGCCACACAGACTGTCGAGTGGATGACTTGCTTGAAAAAGTGCCGATGGGTCATCAGAGCTGTTGGAATCTTATGAGCATCGAATCGTCTCAGGTTTTTCGTAAGAAGTCAGACCATATCAGACGGTCTTTTCGGTGTGTGTTTTATGTTACGTGAAACCCCGGCAGTTACGGCACTTTTTAACCGGTTGCCGTTGAACGCATTCTGTATTTGATCACATCTTCGACAGTTAAAAATTTAGAACGACTTCTTAAATTTTCTCGTCGTTGGCGTAGGTCGCATCTTCGGATCCTATATTCATTAACGGCATACGCGATATTCCATGCTTCAGCCTTTCGATTGAGCGTTTGATAGCACCAAGTGATCCTTCATCATGACCTCGTCGA